GAGGTTTAGTAAGAGAATCAGAACAACAGATTTCAAGGGGATATGAGAGGACTATGGGCATAATCTCTTTGGAAAGGAGTCTGGAGAAAAGAAGTTAAAGGAATTGGTTGTTGCTCAAAGAAAAAGTATAAAGATAAAAAATGCAAATTGAGACAGCACAGGAGAAGGACAAAAAGCGTAATAAAATAAATCTGTCTAAAATATAAACACCTCATTTATATCAAGCACAAGAAGCAATTGTGTAGAAAATTAAAACTAGTTTGGATTATTCAGAACAAGTGCAAAAGAATAGCAAAAGGTGTAGAGAAAAAAAAAATCAAAGAAGCCAAGGCCAAAAAATGTGAACAAGAAAAGACTGTGTACAAGAAAGAACATGAGAAGTAACAGAAATTGTTCTGGAAGTATATTTCTGGTAAGAGCATGTTCCAGGAAAGTGTTGCTCTGCTCTTTAACAGAAGCATATCAGTCTTTGCTAGTGGTATTAAGAGCACATGGAAAACTCAGCCTAGAATAGAGAAAGGACAAATCAGAGAGTACTTAATATGTTAGGTGTTCACAGGTTAGCTGTGCCTAAGACACACTATATTTGGAAATTGGAAGAATTGGCTAAATCAGTCTCAGCCCTGTTAGCAATTACCATTGAGAATCTGAAGAAGAAAAATGAGAGAGTGTGAAAAACCAGAAAAATAGAAAAACTGATCCTTAAAAGGGTGGAGGAGCTATGGAGGGAAGAGGCCTATCACAGATTTACAGATCATAGTTGTTCCTAGAGAAATTACGGACAAATATTCAAACATTTTGTAAGTACCTGGAGGAAAGCAACAAACAGCAATCAGCATGGGTTTGTTGGGACTATCTAATACCCTATAACAAGAGATTAAAACTTGTGGATAAAAGAAAAGGAGCAGATGTCCTACATTTTCACTTTAAGAAACTTCTGAATGCTGTCTCACGAGACTCCCCTATGAACAAGGTAGTGACTTAATGTAAGTTGCATGGGATATAGCTGCAAAGCTGGTTGGGTAAGGTAACCTCCAACCAGCCACTGCTGTTTTCACTGGCATGTGTGCATTCCACAGGAGTTTATTTTAGACACTATTCTGTTTTTTCAGTAATAATCTGGATTATGTATTAGAAAGTATTAAATTTGCAGTTGTCACAAAGTTGAGAATGGATTGGAAGGATGCCAGAGAACAGGATTAGAACTGAAAATGATCTTGACACATTGGAGAAATGGCTAGGGGAATAAGGGAATATTTAATAGGTGTAAGTGCATGGTACTACACTTGGGCAGAACAGCCATATTCAGGACACAGGATAGCTGGTTAAGAAGTGGGTTTTGAAAATGATATGTAAGTCATGAATATTACACGAGTAAACATAATCAAGCTGTTGTGAAAAAAGTATGAATGGATGAAAAAGACATACAGCCTGCAAAATGTATGGAGTAATTAATTTGTTGTACTCAGTACTCTGCTCAGCTCAAATACTGGCTCCAGTTTTGAGCATCACACTTCAGTAAAGATAGGGCTAATTGGAGAGAGTTCAGAGAATGGCAATGAAGATAGTTAGAGAGCTGAAAAACATGACTTATAAGGAAAAAATTGAAGAACCAGAATTATTTACCCTAAAAAGTGAAAGATAGGTACAAGAGAAAAGTTTTCAAACTCCTCCCCCAAAGAACGAACAAACAAACAAACAAAAACAAAAACAAAAAAACCCAAACCCCAAAACCCCAAACCACCTTGAACTTACACAGATGAAGGGAATGATCTGATCTCTGCATCCAGTATAGATAGCTTCAATTCTAACAAGAAAGAATTAGTTTAGACATCAGAAAAAAAATTCTGATAGTAAGGTAAAATCACTTAGAACAGGCTAGGTGAGAAAGTTATAAGTATATTAGAGGTCTTTTAAAACACAGAAAACATGTCCAAAAATGATACAAGTGTAGCTTTGTGTCACTGGCAGTTTGGAGATGACCTGCTATGGACCCTATTAGCAGTATTCTGATTCTCTGTTCTGTGATTCTCTATTAGGTGTGTTACATTACTGCCTATTATTACTGTGCCACACAATGCATTTCCTGTTCTGTAAATCGTGTGAAACATTATCGTACTTTGAATTAAGATTATACTTTTTTTTATTTCAGTGTGTGCAGAAGCTTACAATCCTGATGAGGAAGAAGACGACACAGAATCTAGGGTATTTAATGCTTTGAGTCAAATACTTATCTTTTCAGTTCTCAGGCATTAAATTTAGCAAGAAAAATGTAACCAGCATTACCATTCCTTTGCAAAAGCATCCTTATTGTAATATACTTTAATATTCTCTTGGGTTTTCATGTTAAAGGAACATTTAAAAATTCTCTGTAATAGTCACCCATGTAGGACCTGATGTGAGGATTATTCTAAATTACCACACCTTTGATACGTGGTCTGTTAAGGAAACATTTTTGTGCAATTATATTTGCCCAGAGAGCGCCTGCTCCTGAAAGTACTTATTTGGTGTCCTCATAAACTTGCAGTAGTTTCCTCAATATTCTAGTATTTTTCATAAGGCAGAAAAAAGGTAAATTATAAAATCCCTAAGATTTTCAGATGTACAATGCAATAACTAATGAACTATATTTATTTCTTTTACTTATGTCACCCTTTTAAAGGCATTTACTTAACTTTTAATATGAAATAGCATAAGTATCACTTTTAAGACAAGTTTAGATGTTTATATTCTACCTAATTTCTGGCTTGTAAAACTGTCAAAAAGGTTATCCTATAGTATGACAGTTTTGAAACTTAGCATACCTTTTTAAGCATATGAGTTGAATGAACAACTTGATTGATACTCACATTAACTAGACACCAGTAATTTAGTAAATCTCTAGCTCACTTGGATAGTGTCAAGTCTGTTGTTTACTCTGTGAATCTTCTGATATAAATTTAACACAGATACTATTTCACAAAATATTCTTTGGGAAGTAGTCATGGCAAATGGCTAAACGTAACGGTGCTTTTTATAAAACATGCATGCTCCAAATATGATTAGAGAGGAGCAGAGTAATGTTTATGCAGCAATAGTTGAGGTAAAGGTATCCAAAATGGCTTGCAGAAATGAACTGGATTCTAGAAATGTAAAGATCTTGTTAGCTTAAATACAGCAGTGCTTCATTTGCTAATTCTATGGTGGTATAATGTTATCATTGAGTGTTTATTCAAATCCTGAAGGTTTTGAAATGAAAGTGTTATGAAGCATGGCCAAAATATTGTATAAAATGCTTAGCTGAATTAGCTCAGTCCTTCAGCTAGTGCTGCTATGTGATAACCACTTTAAAGGTTTTTCTATTGTATCCCTCAGATTATTCACCCTAAAACAGATGATCAAAGAAACAGACTGCAGGAGGCATGCAAGGACATTCTTCTTTTTAAGAACCTAGATCCGGTAAGAGATTCTTTGTAATGATCAACATTCAGCAGTGCTGCTAAGAATTAATTCTCCTGAACTTTTGAACAGAAGTTTACAGATTTGACTTTTGTAAGCTCTTATGTATGCTTTCTTCACCATTTCATAAACTCCAGAAATGCCATTTTTATAACTGATACGTCATATATCTAGAACCTTTTGTTCACCACCATGACTGATGGTCTTCAAGTACATTAATATGAATGTATACACTAACATGATTGTAAAGTATTGTATTTTCTTATTTTCTTATTTTAAATCTTCTTGCTGTTCATTGATGTATATAAACTCATCAGTTAACTGGAACATTTGTTTCTACTAGTTACTTTTTATCATCCAAAAGTGTGCTGAGTGCTCCATCAAAACCTAAAATTACCCCCAAAGCCTACAGTTTAGCTATAGATGTAATTGAAGAAGCAAGTTTGAGAAAGGCAATAGTGAGGTGTTTACGTTATTATTTCACGTAATACAGATACTGTAAAAACGCTACAGATAATTTTCTTCTGTGCAGATAATTTCCTTCTATTCCTATAAAAACAATTATGGGCTTTTAAGAAAGCTTAAATGCAGTGAATGAGTGGTCTGGATCAGACAAAGGTGATAATACTACAAAAAAGAACAGGATTGTTTAAGGGAAAAGGCGAGTGTATCAATCAAAACATGCATACTGAGGGATGATTCACAGCACACTAAATGCCTTCTCAAAAGAATTGATTCAGTGCTGTCAGGGGAGGGAGCATGGGGGAAAGGGAAATAATTCTGTAGAGTTTTAAGCATGAGAACAAAAATTTTAAAATTTGATTCAAGAGGGAGCTAATGGAAAGACCAGCCTGCAGCTCTGTTTGGAAGTCAGGTGCTGTTACAGACAATGCACGTTAATTCGTGCTGCAGGTTTCCAGCTCCTGCTTTTGTCTGCGCAAAGGCTGAGCCCTGACCCTGGGTACCTGTTCCCAGAGAGGCCCTGAGGAGCAATGAGCCACAGACCCCCAGCTTTGCAGAACCCTGGAGTTAGAGCTATAGGAGGGCATCAAAAGTCTCAGTGTAGGTGCTAATATGTGTGCATCCTTGGGACACTAGGAATACTGACGGAGAAGATTTCCTAACTCCCTCCCTCATGCTGTCTGTTTAATGGGTAGTTAATTAGCTGTTCCACTATACTTGTTCAAGCTAAAGTCACCCAAACATTTGCCCCTTACACTCCTGAATTATCTTTCTGCATAACTTCAGGGATACAAAGTGTTTTTTGGATATCTGCTCTGGATGTGAAATTGCTTTATTATATATTTTCCTTATTGTCACTGTGTCCTGGCTTCCACTTGGCTGGACCTTTGTTACATCAGCCTGCCAATGGCATTTTGGCAGACCCCTCTTGGTTAGTCTCTGAGCATTTCTCTCTTATGAACCCTGTGATCCAACGGATTATCGTGTGCTCCTAGAATGTGCTGTGATGTTAATTTTGAGCTACTGCCTTCCTGATTCTGGCTTTACACAGTTTCTTGGTAGTATCTGCTTATAGTATCAATCCTCTGGATGAGATCTGCTTTCCCTTCCAGTGTGAACTAGATCTTCTGTCTAAATAGTCATCAGCCACTTGGTCTGCACGACAGGGATCTATTGGCTTCATATCAGCTATATTGTAATGTTGTGTAGATGTAGAGCATTAAACTGTGCCAGTGTGGCACAGAGATATAACTCTTCCAAGGAATATTGAAGAATTACTTCCCCTGTTTGTGGAGGTCTTCTCAGGACTGTGCTGCTGTCTCAATACCGTATCCCCTTGATGTTTTGAACTCCTTCTTTACTTTTTGCTTCTGAATCAGTTACTTGTAATTGCTAATAGTTCCCACAGTCTGTTCCAGGTGTTTAGCAGAAGACTTCTTAGCTGAGTCCTCCCCTTGTGGAGCTCTGCAATCCAAAGCCTTGAAATCTGCTCCTGGGATCTCCCAAGTCTTGTTTACCCTCCTTTGCTCAGATTGTCCAGTGGATTAAGAACACTTCCTTCTACTTTAAATCCTTCACAGACAGCGTTCTGGAAAGTTGAATAAGATAATTTTTGTAAAGGAGTTTTTCATTACAGTAATTTTACTCATAAAAGGCATTGGAAAGCTACTAAGCTCTGAAGATAGCAAGGGTATTAAAATGTAGCCTTCCTCAGTCTGGCTTGCTCCTTCTGTGCAGCCAGGATCTGTAGTCCCCAGGGAACTTCTTCTACTCCTCCTTCTTGTTCTGCTGCTTGGCAGTGACTCAAGAGCTCTGCCACTGTAGTTGCAGTAATTTAAATGTTCCTATCTCAGCTCTCTTCCTCACCTCTGTCTCTCCACCCTGCAGCACAAGCCCACGTGGTGCCAGCTGCTGCAGTTCGCTCTCTGGTGTATTAGCAAAAAAACTCCTTCATCTTGGAGAGAGATAATATCTTCAGCTGCTAAAGCTAAAGTCTCTGGAACATAAGTCAAGCTGTGTATTGATAACATCTCCCACTCCCACTGGGGTTTTTTTTTGCATTGAACTTCAGCCTCTTTCTGCTATCGTTCTGTGTATGAAAAACATTGTTTCAGAGGTCAGTGAGTTAGAGGGGAAGAGACAATGTAAAGTGCTTAACGGCTTTTCCCTGATGGCCTTTTAGCAAGATGTCAAACACCATTCCTAGATAGGGCACCACCCTGAAACACAGTATAACATGTCTTACGGCGTGATCAGAATTGCGTTCAGTACATGATGCTAAATGGAGTCCACAGTTTCTTGAAACTTTATCCCACCCTTACACAGTGTGTTTTAATTTGAATGGAAAGATAAGGGTATCATTAAAGCAGAAAGAGAAGTTGCAGTAATTAGGAGGTGAGTTACAGTACTGCTCAGAATTTTAATTAAAAAGTCCATCTGAACAGACAAGAGCCTTCACATAAAAGTAAAAAACAGCAGAACCATTTGAATGTGAGACTAAATGAGAGAGAGGAGAAAAAGATAACCTTCAGACTCTGAGACAACTTAGGACTTTCTAAACACACACAACACTGTCTTGAGCCTGCATTTACCTCATAGCAGTGTTTGAATATCAGATAGGTAAACTTATGGAGAAGTATTTATAAATAACAGTATTTCACATATTGGCTCTGATTGAAAATATAGCATAGTATAAAGGAACACTAGCTCTGGTACAATTCCCTGAGCAGCACTTTATGTTTTAAAGGCCAACTCTTATAAATTCTTTAAAGTCTGTGAAGTTACTTGAATTTTCTTGAAACTTTCTTTAACTTTGTGGATTGATGAGGATGTGACCAGTCAACTAATGTCAATTCAGCAAGGCACTCTTGAGTTAACTCCCTTAAATAAAAGGTACTTTTAAATAATTGATATGTTAGCATTCTTTTCACCTTTCTGGGGGCTTAATCACTTCCCATCTGGCTGCTGTCTCTCAATATCAGTTTTAGCTAGTGTGTAACAGTATTGAAAAAATTACTTGCAGAGAAGAACAACATGCATGTGCAACAAGATGCGGGAAAGAGGTTTTTTGCAAAGGTCTTTGGCCACTTTTTAGAGGACCAGATCAGGAAAGAATCAAGAGAAATTCCAGGAGCAGAACTGTGTGGATGAGTGAATTAGAAGAGAGAAAGGTGCATTCAGATGTTCGTTTTCCTCTCCCAATGCTATTAATCTAACCTATGTTAGATTAACTCGTTCTTCTTCTAAAGCACCTCTTCCTGTTCTTCTTCCCAGAAAAACCTCTTCCTATTAGACCACAGTATTATTTATTGTTCTTCTCGATTGCCTGCCACACCATTGCCAGAAATGCTAATATTACTTTTGTTCTCCCAGGATTGCCATAGTCGGCCAGGCTGCTTGCTCTACATGCATGCACAAAGCATGTTACCACACCTTCCCCTTCGTGCTCCAGATGCTGGAGGTTACTGGCAGTGGAATCAGAAGCTGCATGCCCTCTTTCCCCTCCACTTTCACTTTGTATAAGCCAGCAAGGAGAAAACAAGATGATGACCAGATGCCATTACTGAGGATAAGCCCCAGGTCACTATTACTGGAATTTGTGTCTGTTCAGCCTAACAACTGTTTTATCACTGTGAGGAATAGCAGCAGCAGCAGCTTATTAGTGGCCAACGCAGCCTTCTACGCTTCCTTTTTACAATGCAATTCAGAGAAGTTATTCTTTTGGTTTTGTCTTTTAAGAGGAAAGTTTGCTGGGGCTGATTAACAACAGGCTATTTGGTTTGGCTGTTATGGCCCGTAGGCCAGCAGTTAAAAAACCTGATGAACCTATTATCAGAGTAACAGGGTGGCTCAAGGGACTGGTAGCATCAAAGCTGTGCCACACCCTTGCACTTAAAGTCTGAATCCTTTCTTTTGCAAAAATTCACAAGCAGTATTAGATCATCTATTCTCTTTCAGGTTGTTGTGGTTTAACCCGGCAGGCAGCTAACCACCACACAGCCACTCGCTCACTCCCCCCTCCCCCGCAGTGGGAGGGGGGGAAGAATCAGGAAAAAAAAAGTAAAATTTGTGGATTGAGATAAAGACAGTTTAATAGAACAGAAAAAAAAAAGAAATAGTAATAATAATAGAATATACAAAGTGAGTGATGCACAATGCAATTGCTCACCACCTGCTGACTGATAACCAAGTAGCAATTGCTACTTCCTGGACCACGCCTCATATTTATATACTGAGCATGACGTCATATGGTATGGAATACCCCGTTGGCCAGCTGGGCCAGCTGTCCCGGCTGTGCTCCCTCCCACCCTCTGAAGAGGCCTTGACTAGCAGGGTACTTATCAACAACTGAAAACATCAGTGTGTTATCAACATTCTTCTCATACTAAATCCAAAACACAGCACTAGGAAGAAATTTAACTCTATCCCAGCCGAAACCAGGACACAGGTAAATTTTATTTTGGATACCTTTGCCCTGCTAATGCTTGTAGAGAATATTTCAAACAGGTCTTGACCCTTTTCTAAAAGGTAATAAATTA